TAATATGGTGAATATCAATAGATATAATCCATATAAATAAAAGCTCTTTGGGCTCCTCAAAATTTTTAGGAGTATAAACGGTTCCTGAAACCAAAATGTTTGAGAATCTCTGCTCTCTAAAGTACACTTACTCAGACTGCTGTTGCAGTATCTGACATGGGAAGGTAGGTAAGATAGGGAATGAGAGCAGTATTAGAAGGAATGAGCTACTGGAGTGAAAGGAGTGTTATTATTACTTTTCATTCATTTCTCTAACTGAAATGGCAGAAATCTGGAATAGTAAGACTCAAAGAATTTGGATAATACGTACATTATAATATCAAGCTTTTACAAATGGGAACTGAATTACTGATAGAAAAAGGATATAGTACATTTTTTTAAGAGTACTAGAATTGGAATGAACCTCAGAAATTATCTTGTTTAACCTCCTCATTTACAAATGAAGAATTTTAGGTCTCGGGAAGGTAATTGATGTGCCCATGGCTACACAGCCAGGGACATAGCTGAGATGACAATGAACTAAGAACTAAATAACTATTTAATAGCACCTAGTATGTTCCAGCCACTATTTTAGGCACTACACATCAGCTAATAAAGTAGATACAAGTTCTACTCTCACAGAGCTTACTCTGTAGTTGGGGAATACAGAAAGTAAGACAGAAATGCCATGTGCTATTAAATATTCTGATGTAAGTAAAGCAGGATGCTGCACTAGAGAGTCACTGTGGTGCTGTTTTGTATTGGATGGTCCAAGGCGGCTCCTCAGGGTGACATTTAGCTGATAATTTATTGCCTACCTGTCTTTTGATTTTGGGACCATGCTGTATTTCTTCTGGATTCATGTATTTTTTGACTAATAATTGTGCTCAGATTGCCTAGCTGAAACTTCACTGTTTTTACCTTTGCCTTTAGTTTTACTATCTTAATATAAAATGCTTAGAAGAATGTTTAATAGAAAATGCTTTTGGTATTTGTCTAAACCCAATAGCATATATATAGCAATAAATCTGTGAAAGAAAATCCTCCATAATGCAGAGAAGAAATAAATATCTTACCCCAAATCACCGTTCTTCATACTTATTCTCATTTGTAGTAGTTAATAGTGGCAGGATTGAGAGGCAGCCCTGCCTGTTGTATTTACTGTTATACCCCAGCACATAGAAGAGGGCTGAGCTTGCAGAAGGCACTCAGTAAATATGTTGGGAAACTGACTGAGCATTCAGAAGTTGTCTCTGCACTTGTACAGCAGGCATTTCATACTGGTTATAGAAAAGCATGAATTTTAGAGTCACAGACAGAGGCTTGACTCCTGGCATTTGCTATCATTTACTGTGACTCTGAGCACCATTGCTTAGCTTCTTTCTGGACCTCAGCTTCCTCACTCATAAAATGGAATAATAATTTCTGTTTCTAAGAGTGTTTGTGAATATTAAGTATATAACCTAACCACCTGGTGTTTGGTACTTAGGAGATCGTAAATGTTAGCTCTCTTTTATTCTTGTTGGTCACGTACATAGTTTGCCTGTGGAGCAGATTGGAGAGGGGTGTACAAGAGAAAACTGGTTTTCTATGTTTGAAAAACATTGGCGATAATGTGAGAATCATGCCATTATATTATGAAGTGATTTTTCTCCCCTTATCTCTTTTCTACATAGCTTGTATTTAGCTTCAATGAAAAGCTTTTTGGCTTACTGGTGAAGGATATTGAAGCCATGGATCCTAGCATCTTGAAGGGAGAGCCTGCGACAGGTAAAAGGCAGAAGGTATGCTTTATTTCTAATAATCTTTATTAGGTTGTCTTTATGATGTTAATTGTCTAGATTAATATAATTTTCCTAACTGTTGTCTCAGTGATTTTTTTCCATATTATGTACTCTTTAAAGATAGTAGGGGAAAATTGCCTTTATAGCCACCTTTGTTATTAAAATATAGCTTAAAATATACTTATTTGCAGACCTAATAGTAATTTGAAATTTGTACATATATGTACTTGTAATTTTGGTTGAATGCAGATTTTTTTGTAAATAACTATTAAGAAAGACATTATTGGAAAGATATAGGCATTGAAATAAAGCACATAGGAATTTTAGAAGGTAGTTATGAGAAAAGTAAATATAACTCAGGTGATAGTTTGGAAGACTTGCTTTGCATGTGGTGGCCTCATTTCCACTTTGTTTTTGACCTTGCTTTGAGAAGTCCAGAAGTCTGCTATTAGACTACTAATTATTGTCTTTCTATACAGATTGAGGTAGGACTGGTTGTTGGAAATAGTCAAGTTGCATTTGAAAAAGCAGAAAATTCATCACTCAATCTTATTGGTAAGATTTACAGTTTTTAGAAGATTCTGAATAAAGTGAGACTATCTCTATTATTAATATTATATGTGACTCATGTACAGTGATTTTCAAGTAAGGAAAGAGAAGAGGGGCACCTCCCTTGAGAGGGCTTATCACGAAATCATGAGGTGTTTCCTATTTGTCAGATTTACTGATGAAAAAGTTTAACACCTTCATCTGGATTTAGCATTATCCAATAGAAACAGAATGTGAGCCACATATGTAATTTTTAATTTCCTAGTAGCCACACTCAAAGTAAAAAGAAACAAATTAATTTTTTTGCTTTTAGTTTTAAGATAATTTTCGGCTTACAGAAGGTTTGCAAAAATAGCTCAGAAAATTCCTGTATGCCCTCACCAGCTTCCCTGATGTTAACATCTTATGTGACCATAGTACAGTTATCAAAGCTGAGAAATTAACATGGTTTCATTGCTACTAACTAAACTATAGACTTTATTTGAATTTCACCAGTTTTTCCGTTATATCCTCTTCTGATCCAGCATCTGCTTCAGGATCCTACATTGAGTTTAGTTACTCTGTGTTTTTAGTCTTCTTCAGTCTCTGACAATTCCTCAGACTTTCATTGTCTTTTATGACTTTGAGAACTGGTCGGTTATTTTGTAGAATGCCCCTCCCCTGGTTTTGTATTAAATGAGATGCTGTCATCACTTCTATTAGTGATTGAGTTAAATGATGAACATGCAGGTAAAATCTTTCCAACAGACTTATAGTTTAATCCTACTCTTGTACTTTAGCCTGACTTTTATTATATTGAAACAATGCA